CTCTCAGACTGGCAACTGTGCTGAAACCTGCAATGGGTTCAGTTTTACCATGTCATCCATGGAGATTAGTTAAGACCAGTTTTGCGATTTTGCTCTGACTACCAGGAAAGGTCAGATTTGATTCTTGACTTCTCAACTATAAAATGGTGGGTGTGAGCTACACTAGGTAATTTCTGAAATCCCTTTCAGCTCTGTAATTCTGCGAAACCTGGTACCTATGTGGAGCTTATCAACTCTTTTTTATATACCTTATTGAATACTCAGTGGGAACTAATATTCATGCTTTATTGACCTGGGCTAGGTTTCTGATAAACAACTCCTGAGGTTGATATTTCACACCAACTTCAAAAACAGAGACTATGGATCAATTTTGTCCATAACGTGTCACTTTCATTTGATAACCTACTAGTAAAATACATGTTCTTTCCATTGGGAAATTCATGACACTAAAGAATACTAAGTAGGCTCCAGCCCCGTGTGAATAGTATGTAATTAACCTGTATTTATATCCTCATTTTGCACACAGTCATGCTTTGCATATACCAGCATTCTCCTCCACATATGTTCATGAATTATGAATTCAGCTACAGGCATGCAAGGCAGAACCCCTCTGTCAGTCACATCTCTTTCTCTGAGACCAGTGAGATTTACGTCTATGTGACACGACTTCAAATTGAACTCCTAAGACCTATCTCAAAGGACCAACTCTATAAAAAGTCTAGCATATGCAGTGCCAGAAAATTCATTCTCTAATGCACACAATTCAGAATTTTTAGAATCAGACAGAACTAGTTTTTATAAAGGCAATTCCAAATGCTTATTTCTAAAAACCAAAAACAAAAAACTCCCCTATTTAAAAGACACACCCCTCCTCCCCCCAAGTAGATATGATTTACTTTGGAAGGGCTTGCCAACTGCAGTCTGGTCCTTTTTATAGTTTTTTTTGGGGGTCGGGGGGAACGAAGGTGCTTTTGGGATGTGTGTGTGTGTCATTCAGTGAAAAATATGCAGTATTGTTTTTCTTTTTAGTTCGATGGTATCTTTGCAAAATGTAATTTTTTCCAGAGAGACTGAGCAATTTCCAATTTTTTTTAATGTTCATGACATTAAATGGATTCTGATTTACTGTATCTTTTATCCCAAGTAATATGTTCTAAGAAACATATATATCTACATCATGGTTATTTTTCTCCTGATTTTTTCTATGTTCATACCTGATCATGTGATTATGTAGGTTAGGACATGCTGGAAAGAGCAGAAATAATTTAATAAAACTCAGATGGTCTGGAGTAAAAATGCCTTCATTCATTTAATAAATATTTGTCAAACATTCACTGGGTGCAGGCTCTGTGCCCACCAAGATTCGTGAAAGGCACTCCCTGACTTAAAGGATTTCACTGTCCTGCAATAGAGTCTTTCATTTATAATTGTTTATACCTCAAAGGGTGATACGTCATCAACAATGGCAGGAATAGAATTGTTTGGGAATGAAGATGGAGGACCTCTTTCCAGAAGCTTTCACATGGGAGTAACAATTGAGTAAGACCTAACAGAGTTTCAAGAAGAATGAAAAAAAGGGACAAAGATATTTCATGATGTGTTCTGTAAAGGGCTGAAATAAGAGGTGTGAGCGAAAGACTGTCAACAGATGAGTTTCGAGTTTTGGGCCAAACTAACGTGTTTTCCTGAGGAATCTGGACTTGATTCTGTTGGGGAGTGGAAGCTCAGGGGAACACAGTCAGGGATGTATTTCCAAACGGTTACCTTTTATAAAATAGCATTAAGTCTTGGAAATATTGGAGAAGGAGGTCTCCTGTACTCTTCAGAGGCAGGGAAAAGATATGAATGAGGGTAGACTTGAAACATATTCGGAACTTGAAAATGCTCTATAATGAGGGAATGCAATGAAAGCACTTAAGTGGGTTTGGACAGTTCTCACTGAAGATTCTGATAGTACTGGTAAGAACTCTATTTAATGAGCTATTGGAAAAGGCATAAACATAAACAGAGTTTGGAGCATGTTAAATAAAGATGCTCCGTAAATGCAGACTGGGCAATTAAAAAAGATTTACCAGAGAAAAGCTAAATACAGTATAGTGGATAATTAATGGGCCTTTGACAACTCAGTAATAAGTACCCTGAACTTTTAAAATAGCGCATTAACATCTGTGCATGTCGGAAGGATGGTTTGCATTTACAATCAACACCAGTTAGCTGGGAAATTTCCCCACAGAAGTTAATTAGGGATTCCCAGTACAGGAGCCTGCTGGTTAACCTCCTGAGCCAAAGGTGACCCACCGCTATTCATTCATGGCTTTTTATTGAGCCTAGAAGGAGTTTGGTTATAAATTCCCCTCTCCTTTTCCTCAGCTCCCTTAGCTCTAGACACTATTTTAGCTTTTAGTAGGATTTACCTCTCTTAGTTTAGGAAATGAACTTCTGTTCTCTTTGTAGGTAGGGAAAATCCAACCTGGAAAAGGCCTCTGTAGGTGAGGGAGCATCCCCTGAATGGACTGGGCCATTCATTCTTCATTAAGATATGGTGAACGCTCCACCTTTGGTTCTGAGCTCAATGAAGATTCCTCAGAGGAAGGTACTTTTGAGAGCCAACCAACTTCTTTTATTTCAGTATATCTTAACATATTTAAGCAATTTTTTAATTTTAATTTTTTAGTTAATAGACTTTTTTTTTTTTTACAAGCAGCTTTGGGTTTACAGAAAAATTGAGTGGGCAGTACAGAGTTCTCAGGTATTTCCCCTCACCTCCATCTTTCCTGACACTGACATCATATATTAATATGGTACATCTGATACAATTTGTGGGCCAATACTAATACATTATCATTAGCTAAAGTCTATACTTTACATTAGAGTTTACCCTTTATCTAGTAAATTCTACAGGTTTTGACAAATATATAATGGCATCTATCCACCATTACAGTATGATACAGAATAGTTTCACTGTCCTAAAAATCCCCTGTGCTCCACCTATTCATCCCTGCCTACACCCAGCCCCTGGCAACCACTGATCTTTTTACTCTGTCCTTGGTCTTGCCTTTTCCAGAATGTCCTGTATTTAGAATCATGTAGTACGTTGCCTTTCCAGATTGGCTTCTTTCACTTACAATATACATTTAGGGTTCTTCCCTATGTTTCTGTGACTTGATGGCTTGTTTCTTTCCAGCATTGAGTAATACTGAAGTGTGTAGATGTACCACAATTATTTATTCACCCACCAAAGGACATATTGGTTGCTTCCGAGTTTTGACAATTATGAATAAAGCTGCTATAAACATTTGTGTGCAGGTTTTGTGTAGTTGTGTTTTCACCTCATTTGGGTAAATACCAAGGAGCGCAATTGCTGGGTGTCATGGGAAGAGTGTGTTTAGTTTTATAAGAAATTGCCAAACCGTTTTTTAAGTGGTTGTATCATTTTACATTCCTATGCTTAACAACATTGGAGTACCTACCATGTGCCAAATGCCTCTCATGTAAGGGTACAAAGTGAGTGAGCCAGGACACAAAATGTTATTCTAGAAAGAGTTAAGATACCATGCACTTGTCCAGGTTATAGATAAACTAAAATGTTGGGGTGGTTTACTGATTAGGATCTCTGCTTTATAGTACACAACACATAATGATTCTTAAATGAAAAATGGGTAATATAACAAAAATTTAAATTATAGTAAAATACTACAGTTAATCCAAGGATGCACTTAAACTAGTTTTATAAAATTATTCTGGCTAGACATAGAGATATTGGGTTCTGGTACCAACTCTCTGGTTTCACAGGGATGAAAGAAAAACTGTTGGAACAACACTAGTTTTTGGTTTTGTTTTTTTTTAACGTACCCTTAGGATCAGTGGTTTTCATGGATTTAAAAACTTGCTCAGTAATTATTTCTTGAAAACTGTAACTGTGAGGTAAATGCTTTCTGTTTTTCAGGAAAAAAATGCACAGTACACACACACACACACACACACACACACCCCTTCTGAAATACTTGGGAGTTGTGCCCAAGACTTGAACAATTACCCTGGGGTAGCTGCAGCTGATTCACTTACCCCTGCTCAGTTTGCCTTTTGCCTCCAATGGACTTGAATGGAAATTGTACACAAATGAATGGTGAAAAATTGTTCTCTCTACCTTTTAAAAGGCCTTGTCAGGATCTTTATTTGAATTGTGATAGTACTGGCAAAGAGTGAGCGAAATTATTTTTGTAATTCTTTTTTATATTTTTATTTACTTTTTTTGGAAATTCTTTAAAGCAGATAATAAATTGAAATTTTTGTTCTCCTTTGTTCAACTAAAGCAGCAAATAAGATCAACATGTTAATCCTATTTAGCCTAAATTATATAATCAGATAATTTTCTTTTTTTCCTCTGTCCTATGTAAAACAACCTGGATATCAGTGTCAAATGTCTTTGCCTTATGCAGAAATATTCATTTCAATACGGGTTCTTAAATTTGTCTCCATATCTCCACCTTTTTGGATTTTTTTTAAATTTATTTTTTATTTATTTATTTTTTTTAAAGATTTTATTTATTTGACAGAGAGAGCACAAGCAGAAGGAGAGAGAGGGAGAAGCAGGCTCCCCGCTGAGCAAGGAGCCTGATGTGGGACTCAATCCCAGGACCCTGGGATCATGACCCGGGCCGAAGGCAGCCGCTTAACCGACTGAGCCACTCAGGCGTCCCACCACCTTTTTGGGTTTTAAAATTGTATACAAATTTTGTGAAACTGAAAATTTTACATGATATGTAAAGACAATTCTAGCAAGACTATCTGGCTGGAAAGGACACTAAAACTTTACTAAGCTCGTTAAACAGCATCAGTCATTCTATCTGCTGAGACCCCTTAGCTTTGAAAAGAATTGAGATGTTTGCTTCTCTGTCTCAAGTATAAATGTAAGCCTGTTGATTAGAATGGGATAATTTGTGAATGGGCAGTGTGTGGGCACTTATTTATTACTTATTTATTTATTTTGTAATTAACAGAGAAATGCTGAAGAATCGCTTTTTCCTGTGCTTGAAAAGAAGAACAAAGTTTCAATCTGATAATAGACATGAAAGCTCTGAAATCTACTGAATTAGGAATAAGGAGAAGATACAAAAACAATAGAAAAAGAAATGGGGTTCACATGAACTCTAGTCTAAATGCTGTGACTTGCAGCAAAGTGCTGTCTTTCTTTCCTTCTGCATAAGAAATAATTAAACCTGCAGTCCTCCCCTGAGACTTTTCCTGTGGTCACATGGGGGCCTCCTAGGGAAGTGAGAGCAAGATGAACTGGAAGGATGGCAGAGGCCAGGAGAGGCAGGTTGTGGATCAGGTGTGTGTAAAAACGCCTCATGAACTCACTTGGGCTCGATATTTATATATTGGCTCACGCTTCGTGATCTCTCCGGCTGTTGGTTTGCAACCCTCTGGAGCTTCCCAGGTGAAATTAAGAATTGGTCCCTGGAACATGAGGAGCAGGGAGAGATGGGAAAAAAGAGGCAGACCACGCCAGATAGGCCAGATAGGTCGGTGGCAGTTTTTATTAGCAGAGGAAACTTGCATACACGAGGCTTGTCTTGTGGCTGCTGCAAGATAAATGGGTCCCTGCACCCCTGTTGCCAAATCTTAAAAGGTTACATAGAGGCCTTAACCAGGTTCAGTTAAGTACGCTGTGAAGGCGTTCTCAACACCGCATCATTATGTCAAGGCTCTGTCCTTGGAGCAGCCTCTGGGAGCCAGAAAGGCAGGCAGAACCCACATTGCAGGGGAAAGGGGTGGGGGTCTTGTCTGGGTCCAGCTCACAGGTCACTGGGCGGTCACGTCTTTTCCATGACCTTCCCCAATGCTTGCTTATTTCAGACTATAGTTATTCCAAGATTGATGCTTGGTTTTATCAACCTCACACTAGTTTCATTTGTAAATTCTGGCCCTTTCTGGAACGTGCACTTTGTGAGAGCAGAACCTGATTTGTTCTCTGCAGCATCCTCAGTGTATAGTATGGTGCCTGGCACATTGTCATTTAATGTATATTTGTTGATTTAATGAATAAAATGAAAATCAGCAAATTCTTAGAGGATTTTATTTTTATTCCAATGAAAGACAGGTATACTCCTTATTTGTATATGTTCTATTTTACTTGTGAATTTAATCCATGGATTAAAAAAGTATAAGATGCCCCAGATATCCCCTTTTGGCATGCCTGGTGCCCTCCCTAGCGACTTTTGCAGTTGACATCAGGCCAGTGGATGGAAGGATGGGATTTCTGCAGAGTCAGGACTGACTTTGACCCCAGGCAAAGTACTGTAGGCACCAGGACCCGAGAGCCTCCGGGCTATAAAGACACTGCATGGTTAAGTTTGCCTGTGGGTTCTCTTTGAGAACTTCTGAGGAATGGCTACCTATTGAGGAACTGTGTGTCTTCCATCCCAGCCCCAGGATGAGCCTGGCCCTTAAAAAAGTAGAAGCTTGGGTCCTGCTGGTTATGCTGCCCCTTCCAGAAAACAGCCTCAGAAACTTGTCTGTCTTTGCATAATAGGTTCCTGCAGTGTGTGTCCCACAGGGGAGATCTCCTGGGGCTTCCTAGTGACAGCCACGGTTTAGGACTCCAGGTGGTCCCATTCTTAATTTGTCTTGTGGAGTAGGAGGGAACAAGAGATACAATTTGCACCATTTCCTTAGACCCTAGCCTACATTTTACACTTAGCAATTCTGATTGAACAAAAACAAATGGCAAGAGTCATCATAATATCACATCATTTTTACCTGCTTGCCTGTCACCGTAAAGTCCATTTATTTGTAGCAATCCCTCGGAGTCTACTTGTTTTTGCCACTCTCTGGAAAATCAGATGAATTCTCGTGTTTTATTTGTGCCCCACCTTCCCGCCCCCTCTCTCTCCCCAGTCTCCCCAGTACTATCACCCTAACCTGCAGATGGTTCCCAAATGCTTCCCCTGACTTACTCCTGCCCAGCTTGCAAGGCTGGGTCTACTTCCCCACAATGACCACAAGCCTTTCTCCAAATGTGATCACTTCTCCAGTGCTCCTTGGTTATGTACTTGCTGTCATTGCCTGTCCCATCACTGTCCCGCCTCCTTAGCATTTCTTATGAAGTGAGCACAAGCTACGTCTGCCTCCCCTTTCCCCAGCCTCTCTTTCCTGTGGAGCACACGGCATACCTCCCCAGGGCGGGGCAAAGGTGCGCCAAGCGGCCCTCCTCCAGACTCGCTTTCAGTTTGGTTCTGAACCCCAAGGCAGCTGCCTGACTTAAACCCCACTGCTCTTAGTGACATTGGCAGTGTAGTAGTGGCCACGATGTGGTGTCTCCTTGTTCTAGTTTGGTTTAGCTTTTATCTTTTTCAAGGCATTCTCACAAACTTTTAAAGCTAAATGTATTTTTTGAAAGATTTTATTTATTTGAGAGAGAGAGAATGAGCGAGATAGAGAGCATGAGCAGGGGGAGGGGCAGAGGGAGAAGGAGAAGCAGACTCCACACTGAGCAGAGAGCCCGATGTGGGGCTCGATCCCAGGACACTGAGATCATGACCTGAACCTAACTGACTGAGCCACCCAGATGCCCTTAGTTATTTGTTTTATCTTGTTTTATTTTGTTTGTTTTACAAGGGAAATTTACTTCATTGTCTGAAAATACGTATGCTTACCTAATGCTGTCATAACTGGTTAAATTCATTGGCAATACAAAATTTTTGAAAAATACGATCGTTTGATTAAGTAGGCTGGTTTATGGTTTATTATTTATGTTATATGAGTTAGAGTTTTATTTATTTATTTTTAAAGATTTTATTTATTTGAGAGAGAGAGAATGAGCGAGATAGAGAGCATGAGCAGGGGGAGGGGCAGAGGGAGAAGGAGAAGCAGACTCCACACTGAGCAGAGAGCCCGATGTGGGGCTCGATCCCAGGACACTGAGATCATGACCTGAGCTCAAGGCAGATGCTTAACCAACTGAGCCACCCAGGCGCCCCCTAAACTGAGTGTATTTTTATGCCAATTTCTTCTATCATATCAGAGTAAGTGTTGAAACTCTTTAGAAGACTTTTCAGCATCTGGATAACGTGGAGATTCAATTGTGGTTTTACTGTTTTCAGAGACATAGACACTATCCAACTTCTTTTCATTATTCTTATTTTTAACTAGAAAGCTACATTGAAGTTTCCAAACATAATACAAAATCACCATCATTTTCTTCAATAATAATTAATCTGTCCATGCTTGAAATTTACAGTCAAGAATGCATTAGAAACACTTAATAAGGTCCTCCTGAATGTTCGGCAGCCATTCCTGGCAACACCTAGTTCTCTGCTAATCCCATGAAGATACTTTTCACTCATCAATTATAAGTCTTAGCATGAAGCCATTTTTTTTTTAGCATGAAGCCATTTTTTTTTTTTAGCATGAAGCCATTTTTCTGGAAAATGGTGTTGATGGGAGAAATAAGTACACTCGATATCATCCAATAAAGAAATCCAGTTTAACAGGTGTTTTTCAGATGGTTACAGATTGTGTGTGGAAACCATAAGAAATACTATTTGCCTACCAATATTAACTTGCTGGTTTTCATATCTTTACAAGTATATCGGTATACCCAATAATATGGTGAAATATCCTCACACACACACACACACACACAGAGGCCAAACGTGTCAAAATACATATGACACACAGGGTAAATATCTTTGCAACACATATTACATATTACTGACAGAGGGCTATTTCTCCTAACATAAAAATTCTCATCAATCAATAAGAAGAAATGGGCCACTAACCACTTAAAACTGGACAAAGAACATGTGTAGATGGTTCACAGAAGAGAAATGTTTTTAGCACACAAAAAGATGAACAACATCACTTACAATGACAGAAATTCATCTTTACTTGCAAGCTCTGTTTGTATTTACATAATATATAAAATCTGCCCTGTGTCTCTTGAAAGCAAGTGCAGGGCCTTGCATCCATGAAGCAGAAGCTGAGGTTGAGATTCTTTTTATCCCTTTGTTTATGCAGCAGATATCATAGACTGGGTCACCAAGCACCCACTCCAGCTCCCTTCTTACTGTGTCTTATGTGATGGAAACTGGAAAGCTTAAAAAAAAATTAAAAAGAAGAAAGGAAAGAAGGAGGGAGGGAGGAAGACACATTTTCAGATCTTTCATGCAGCTAGAAAACCCAGGTTCTGGCAAAAAGTTGCATTCATAGTAATTCGGAATGATGAAGTGAGCAACTTAAGGTGCAGGCTGTATGCTGGGAAGTGTTTTGTTCTTCTGAGGAAACTGTGATAGAGATTGGAATGTTCTATTCCTATAGTCCTTAATGCCCAGCAGCAGGTGGTAACCACAGGAGTTGCTGGAAGAAAGGTCTCAGGATGTGGTAAGGCACCATCCAGTTGCATTGCTCCGGCCACAGAACATCCAGGCTTGGTTCCTTGATCACCCCGGTAATTCTTCCAGTGATCTAATACCTTGTAATAAATCTTTCTCCACTTAAACTGTCTGGCATAGTTTCAACAGATGCATTTCAAAAGTAGAATGGTGTTTTCCTAATCAGAGAGTAGAAATAGAAGATGGAGGGGAGAATAGGCACATAAATAAACCAACCAATCAAAACCAAGAAAAATTGATAAGTTTCCATTCGATTTTCAGTTCTAGCTACTTCACTGCTGAAAAATACTGTAAATTAAAGCTTATTGACTTTTTGGTTCTCCCCATTGAAATCTCATAAAATGTTACTTTCTAGACATTTCCTCATTCATTTCGTCAAATAACATACACCAATCAAGTGCTTCCAAATTAACCACAATTACAGAATTCAGGCATACTTCGATTTATACGATATATTTTTTCCTTAACATGTATAAACCCAAGTGATAACTTGCTATTTTCGAAAAATCTTAACAGAAATCCTGTTAAAAAAAAAATAAAGAGAATTCAGAGATGAACAGGACATGGTTTCTCAGCCTCAGGAAAATTTCATTCAGTTGGATAAACTGATTAGCAAACCAGTCTAAAGCGTGCCACAAGAGAAGTCCTACCGTCAGTAGGTTGTAGGCTGTGCTGTGGGAACACAGGAACACAAGAAACCGGTTGGCAAACTCAGAATTTCTCCACTTTGACACCAGTCTGTAACACGATGTTCCCCTGGCCCTTCCCTGGGTGCCATTCTGTGTGTCAATGTGGGAGCAGCCTCAGTGAGTGGTAACTGAAGACACACAGGCTGCTGAGGCCACCGTGACTCTGCTCCAGCCAAGAACATCATTCACACTTCTCTGAAAGATGGAGTCAAGTCTGTCTTAGAGGCAAGCCTGTGCAGACAGGATTAAGTGCCTTCATTTTAAGAAAGCATCTTGCTCTTGGTAACCAAGTAAGAGCGACCGTGGTTGATCTTGTCTTGGATGACTGTGTATACTTTCAGGTCATTTAAAACTTAACAAATTGAAAAAGAAAAGAAAAAGAAAAAGAAGAAAGCTAGTGATGTGGCCCTGGAGGTTTTCTCTGGCTGACAATCAAACCGAACCTACAATAATTCCTGACATGTCAACACTTTATGTTTGACCTGCGCCACAAAGAGATCCCTGATTTCTCTTTTGGGAGAGATCTCATGAAAAAAAATCTCTCCAGAAAATGAAGGGCACAGGTAACCAAAGAGCAAAAGTCACCAAATGTTATTCATGCAGCAGCACCTTTACTCAGGATCCTGAAACACGGGTGCTTGATCTCGAGGGTGGATTAAGAACTGGAATTTGGGGAAATGGACACCAAAG